ACATATTTTCTTCAATTTGACATGACAGACCACATCTTACATTAATAATGGATGGACGAAGGGTGAGGTGGGGGACCCTAATTAACATTATCTAGCTAGGGGTAAGAAGTAGTGCTGGCTACTGCTTGGGATAATTGGGCATTGAAGTGCATGCAAGGTATAGGTCGTTATCTTTTAGGTCTAATTGTCCCTAAAAATTCACAATAAAATTTGCAAAATATAGGCACCTATAACATGCAGCCAATAAAGAAACTTAACGTGGTAGTGACTAGTGAGACACAGATTATTATTACAATTAATAACCATTAACTTTGGGGAAAATTTTGTCCCACCAAATTAAGGTACCCTGAATTTTATAAAGGAAAAATACAATGGCATCAAATAATTGAAAGGGCCAAAAGCTGATGTGTAAAAAATGAAAATTTTACTCGTGGTAAGATTGGTTTGTAAAGTACAGTTACTGTTTAAGACCGCACTAACTGACAAATTCTGTCGTCTCTAAAAATGGAGGGTGGTATGATTCTCAGGCAAAACTAACGAGGCAAAACCAGCCCCTGAATTTACTTTACATTTTTTATTAAGTTTTTAAATTTTTATTGAAATAAATAATGGTTGAATTTAACAAATAAAGTAATTTAATCTAGGTTTTTTACAATAGATTTAATGTTTATTCGTACATTATTTATATGGATCTAATATTACCATATTATTATTTACGTAGTAAGTGTTAACATTATTCATATAAATAAGGTATAAATTAACGTTAAATTTGTTATGAGTAAAAAGATTAAATTACTTAAATCAATAAATTTAGAAGTTTATTTATTTTAATAAAAATTTGAAGATGTAATTAAAAGTTTAAAATAAATTTAAAAACTTAACACAAGGTTTTTGTTAATGTACAGGCATGGAAGCAAGGGGACAAAATTAGAAGAATTAAATAAAACCTTTAATATACTATTCTACAATTCAAACTACATCAAAATGTAAAATATAAATGGTTGGATGGGAGAGGTCCCCGATCTCTTATCTAAAATCATTTTTTTTTTGGTATAAATTAATGTAATTTAAACTATATAACAATTTTACATAAAGCTTTAAATAACTACCAAAATAACATTAGGAGCCCCCCTAATGTCAAAACCTTCGCTGACTGAGGTATTGACTTGTTTTTTAATGTTTTTTTTTTTTAAGTATTATTCTAATTTAAAATTTCTAACTTGCAAGAAGTGACTATGGGGATGATAACTCACCAAGGATGAGAATAAAACAGAAAGCCGCGAAGGAAGTGAAACCCTTCAACCCTCTTTGTTTGCTAGAAAATGGAAGTAATCATAATTGTTCTGAACACTCAGGACGAGTGTCCCCAACACACAGTTAATAATATGCATATCATCCAAAGTATCCAACTCCAAAATCACACGGTTTCACCTCACTGCATCAAAGAGTGAAAACATCCTACTGTTCTTTCCCTTCTTTATTCGCTGGTGAACTGCATTAGATTCAGAAAGACTGTTCTGATTCATACAGTTTCACCGTTTGTTTGTCACATGCATTGCCCATACACTGCAGAATCTGAGTAATAACTTCTATTCTACACGTTAACTTCCATGCATAGTAAGTGGGACCTGAATACCATCAGATATTTTTCTCTACTAATCTGCACTAAAATTCACATGCTTGCATGTGCAGGCATGCTCATATGCAGGTTGTATTCTATGCATTCACACAGTCCATTCATGGAGGATGATGCAACTTCAAATCAACACACACATTGATCATCATGAAAAGAGAAGGAATAGCCATGTGGCTTCCTAGTCCTGAGTCAAGTATTCTTCTTCATTAATGGTCGTTTTATATGGATATCAAATAAAATCTCAGTACTCATGTTGCATTCATGAAGAGCATGGCTGCTCTATTTCCAGTGTATATGCTCCATAAGGACCATAACTCAGCCATGATTGAGTGCCAAGTTTCTTCCTTTCTTGGAAGACATTGATATCATTACTACTGTGGGAAATCAAGGTAAGAGATGAAAATTGTTAATAAGCACATTTCAACTGGGACCTGAATTCAATACTGTCTGGCCTCAAAAGTCAGTCTAGTCTAATCATCATCCTTATCAACTCAGTAACGTTTGGTGCTCCAATTAGATGAAAATATCTAGTCTATCAATTGATCAATTAAGTGGAAAAGAAACAATGTTGCGGAATCATGATCTGATAAGTAAAGCTAAATTGATAAAAAGTAAGATTCTCACATAATGAAAGAGAGCATACAGCAACTAACATGTCAGGAACTGTCCTAAACAATTATTCTCATGAAGTTGGAGAAAATAAAAGAATGTCTTAATTGTACTTTTTTTTGGGAGTTTCTATAAGTTGAATCTAAAGGAAACTAAATGAAGCAATTTCTAGAAATACAGGGCTACAGAGAGTGAGGAGGCTTCTCTTACCCTTTCCTCCTCTTGGTACTCAAAATGAAGTCATCATCATCGTCACTGTCATTATTGATTCTTTTCTTAGCTTTTAGATCTCCATTCTTAGATGCCAGCTGCTGTTTTTGTGAACTCTCTGGTTTGTTGGAGGGTTTTGGAGGATGAGATTTAACTGGAGTTCCCAGGCGAAGTTGCCTCTGCTTTCTTTGCTTCTTTTCATATGCCTTTTTGGCTCTTTCAGGGGATAACAAGCCATGTTCCATCATCCTGCAAATTTAAATATGTTATCCCTTACTTAGAACTAAACTATTCACCAATTAACAATATTGCAATCTGAGCTAATTCCTTGGCAAAACTCTAAAAGAAGGAAAAGAAAAAACTAGCAGTACTTGTTTTCACAGCCTAGAAGAGATGCTGGGCTAATAAATAGGGAATATCTCTGTTTACATGGAAAAAATGAAAAATTAATTTCAAAAGCAGATGCTGTGTCACTGATCCACAGTAAACACTAGAGAATAAACTCCAACTCAAAGAAATTTTAATAGTAAAGTAGTTGGACTCGTCTATATGAGTCATTTGAACTTCATCCACTCAATCTATAATTCTCTATTTGATAGCTAGCAGGTGGGGCATTTGAACTTGAGACCTTCCTAGGACGGTGTGACCACTTACTACCTATTTGTCTCTGCCTTGGCCACCAACTGATTGAGGATTCTCTGGGGAACATAGGACAAAGGAAAACAGACCTGTCAATGTTTTTAGACTTGAACTGAAAATAGTAACTTATCCATTACCTCTGCAAAATGGGTAAGAGCCATCAAAATGTGTGTATTATGTTTTTGACAAACATAATATTTGTTTTTACAGAGAAGCATTAGATCCATGATGCACTGCACCCAAGGACTTCAGGAAAGGGGAAAGCATTAAAAAGAAAGGTATATTAGTTACGTGCATATAGGCTTCATGGGAAGTATATCCTGGAAACTGAAATCAGGAAAGGCTATAAAGAATAATGCCCATGGCAACAATGAACAAACAGGGACCTTTGAAAATTGGCTTTCCCTTTTTATTAGGGAGCAAAACAACATAACTTATTTTGTTTAAAAAAAAAAAAAGCCATAACTCCTCAGTCAACGATCAAAAGCTCCTTACACAAGTTCTTGAGACAATGAACTATTCCCCTCTTTGATAATTCTACCAGTATCATGCAGTGATAAGATAAACTGAAGTCCTATGGGTACGGGAGGAGCAGGTACTATAATGCTTTATTTATCTTTTAAAATGGGCCAATACATAGCCCTCTCATTTTCTATAACGATGATTTTTAGATCCTACTAGCATCCAATATCATCTCCAGAAATGTATTGATACCATCTATGTACACTAGCAAGGCTGCAAAATAACTTAAACATCACATCATGACAGTCTCGAAACTTCCATTCCCTTTTAAAAGAGAAATTTATTTGCTTTCTCTTTCTCTTAACTGAAGATCTTCTCATCCTAATTTACCTCCATTTCTCCTCCAATCCATTTTTCTGGAGATTATGAGGGTTTTTCTCCACCATTGCCTTTCACATGAGTACAATCAATGAGACTTTAGCCTCATTGGAAAGCAGAAGTTGAAAATCTTCAACCCAAAAGTACTTATTCTTCCTTTGTAGGAACTACAATTAAAAAAAAAAAAATGGTAGACTGGCACAACAGAGTCCTGAGAAGCACTTCCAGGAAAGAATTAGCATCGAGTCAAAGGAAAGAACTGCTCATTGCTATACAAAGTCAAGAAATGTAAAAATTCAACTATATGAAGAAGACAAATGCTGGATGATAAACAATCTCTCATAATTTCCAAAGAAGTCACTGAAGAAAAACTTGCATCTAACTCCTATCCTCTCCTCTCCTCTGAAAAACACAAAGGAACCATTTATGGCACTCTTCACCCGAAATCTGCCACTCTGAGAATATGCAGTATCAAGTTGAATTTAAATTTATGTAGATTAATCACTTGCTCATCTAAAAATCAAACCAGGAGGCTAAAACGTAGTTGTTAGAATCAAACAATTCTTGTATTACCACCACAGATGTGAGCTTTGGTTACCAAAAAGCAATAAGCTTATGACAACAGGGCCTAAGCTCTGAAAGGCATTGAAAAGATTGACTAGGCTGGAATTTGGACTCTGACATTGTTAGTCATCTCTCAAAGTGAACTGACTTTTAAGATCACAAAACAAGACCACAATTAACCTTTTACAGTCTGCTTGAACTGCAAATCAAGTTTTGAAATCAGAGATTTTAATTCCTTGTATTCTTGCACCGTAATTAATTTTGACAAGTATTCTATACATTAAAGAAAACTCACCAAAATTCTGCCATTTCGCTTGTAGGTATCTGTTTCGATAATGACTCGTAAAATATTCGTAAGGGCTCTCTCTGTCAAACAAAGTGGTCAAAAACAAAGAATGAGTTGCATTGAATAGGAAAAACACGTTTTCAAACAAGAGCAGAGAATCCAAATCATATTTGCCCAACCTCTTCAGGAGGATCATGTTTCTGGCCAGGCAATGTATACACCTTCTTCTCTCTTACTTTAGTTGTTTTAGTCGTTGTTGTTTTGGATGAACTTGAGCTTGCCTTCGATTTGACCTTTACGATTAACCAAAACAAAATCCAACACATCACACCAAATGAAATTTACACAACTGAGGGGTAAAAGCAAATTCCTAGATGTCCAGAACCAAAAAAATGTCGAAATACAAATAGATACCAAATTTCATAATTCATCACAGATTAATCAAATTCATTTAGAAAAGGACCATCCAGAACCAACCACATTGGGCAGAACGACTAAGTATATCCAAAATCCATATCAACCAATTAACCACCAAATTTCGGAATCCCAAATCCACCAAGTCCACTACAAGATAAGGAAGGCACACTCAAAATCTAAGAGGTAAACCCAATTCACTAGAAAGAAATCACAAGCAAATAGAAAACGCACCTACCCAAATCACCAAACTGGGAATACAATAAGAAACTAAATCCAATTATTCAAAAAAATGTAAAAAGAAACAAACTTTGTGATGGGTACCTCTGTTTTTGTAGAAACAATTGAAACAGATTTCAGCTTTGAATCAACAGGCTGTTTGCTTGAGCTCTCACCCTTCTTCTTAATCGCAGAAGCATCAAACTTTCCTTTGGAAGAACCATCTTGACCACTGGGCTTGACCTTCATAACACCAGACTTCGTCTCTGTTGCCATACCCCCGTTCTACGTTAATCTTCCCCTCCAATGGTTTCCTACAGATCTTATGAATCTGTAATTTTTTGGAGTGGGGAATGATCGAAAGTTAAAATCAAGGGAAGTGAAAATTGGGTAGAAATTATTACAAAAATGGGAAAAAAAAAAAAGAAAAAGAAAAAAGAGAGTTGAACTTGAGGTTTTAAATGACCTTCAGTGGTTTTTTTTCTTTTGTCTGAATTCTTCATCAGACTCCATTAACGAAAGCTTTACCGTGATCTTCAACGGTAGATCGGAGCTTGCCCCGTCGGCTTACCTGCAAAGACAATACTACCCTCATGATCGGGACGTGGATAACTAGATAAGGTGGGTAAAACTGGATAAAACAGTCAGATCAGGTTAAAGAAGAAATATTCGGTGGAAGCATGCATACAATAAGCTTCTGAGTGTCGTACCAGATTACATAAATTGGAACCGTTGGATAATTTATGTTCGGTGTGATGAGAGAAATCATGATCATCGTACGGTCGTGAAGGCCTCATCTTCTTTCTTGGTAGTTGGTACTTTCTTTCATCCTGAACTGATTACTAGGACAGGCCATGTCTAAAGAAAAAATTAATGTGGTCGGAGCACGTGTTAATTAAATTTTACAGCTTGCACCTTTTTTTTTTTTTTTCTCTAAATTTATCTTGTACCATATTTTAAAGAATACGAGAATGTTTGGTTTGACACAAACAGTTATTAATTATTGGTTTAAATTTAAATTAAATATTTTAAATTATAATAAATAATAATAATTTTTAATTTTTAATTATATGTAAATAATTAATTTAAATAATTTTATATTGCATTTATTGTTTTAAATTTCATTTAATAAAAAATACATAAAAGTATAGACAATGATATAATTATGATATAAAATAAGATTTTAAATTTATAAATATAATATATTATTAAATAAATAAACATATATAATATTACATTATACATATATTTTTTTAAATAGTCAATTACATCTTGACAAATTATAATTATAAATTTACTTTAATATGTAAAATTGTAATTATATTATTCTCATAAAAATATAAGTAGCTTAAAATCCATAATCTTTTTTGGATTACATGGCTGGATATTCAAATCTTTATCCTGTGTGGTTGCAAAGCATATATGTAAACTGTTTAGTGTGAGAATGGCAATTAAGGATTTTTTTTTTTTTTTTGAAAATAGGCAATGTAGGCAATTAAGGATTTAAGGGATATGAATCTGTGATAATTTGAAACACGTGTTTCATCACTAAATATCAGCAATAAAAACAAAAAAGAACAAAAAGAGAGAAAAAAAAAAAAAAAGAATGTAAAACCTGTGTTTCCCACGCTTGTGGCTGTAGGAAAACTCCTATTAATCTAATTTCAGTTTGTGAAGTTAAAAAATGGTTGCTTGGAGTCTTGGACCATCAAGCACCACACAATTGATTCATAAGTATCCATTGGGAAGGTTTGTAAATGTATGTTTTCATTCATCTTGCTCTTATTTGAAAAACTCTGTTGTACCAAACAGAGTGAAGGATCATATGGAAGATATCATACTTAACAGGATTAGAATGCCAGAGAAAATGCTTTTGTACCTTTTTCACCCTCTTATGCATCTCCACATATCTCTCTTCTGAAATTGAGAGGAGAATGGTCTTCAAGTTTGGGATATCCTTTTCCAATACAAAAACAGCAAAGGATTCCCAGTTCAAGACCTCAAAGAATGGAGGAACAAAGTTGTCAGATATTATAACTGGAACACACTCAAACATTATAGCCTCCACAACCCTGGGACTGTTGACTTCATGACCTTTGGCACAGATGCAGAACCTGCTACTCTTCATGTGTTCGAGGTAGTTTGAGTTGCCCTTTGTGTGTGGCATTGGGCCAAAGATTTTCATATCAGGGTCTTTGTTTCCCCAGTACTTTAACAAAATTGGCCTTACATAACCATGCATGTTCCCGGCAAAGAAAGCAAGGATATGTCTCTGGGAAGGAGGGTAACCTCCAAGATTTTTGAGAGGATTTTGAGCTGTGTGCACATATGTTTCTGGAAGAGATACATCTTTGCCTATGGTGAAGCCTACGTCGATATCAGCATTGCAAAGCGCTCTGATGCAATTAAGCAAACGTCCCCTTGTTTCTGCAGGTGCCTGATATTCAAATCACTGATTAGATAAAAAATAATAATAATAATTAATTAAATAAAAAAATACTTTTTGCATGCTGTACTAACTTGATTAATCTATAGTTCCATGTAACCTGCAATTTAAGTAAGAATAAGAAAAATGTACCCAGTCATGACAGGAGGCAAGAAAATGATCTGCTCCACCTGTTCTGTTCCAGAAAGGATATTTTGTTGCAATTGAATCCACATAGGTTTTGACATACTGAATCAGGTTGTTTCTACTGTGTGAATTGCGTACATAAAGTGTTAATTCTAGCATCCGTGAACTGAATGGTAAGTAAAATAAGTGAGCTTTTTGGGGATCTTTGGTAGTGAATTTCTTATTCACTTCCAGCAGCTTCATGAACCATCCTTCAGATGCATATATTCCATCTAGTATTGCCTGATGAAAGATTGGTTTTTCTCCATCTTGGTATACATAAACTTTGAGCATGTTCTCCATTAGTTCATAACTCCTGCAAATACAAAACAGACTCTTGAACCATAAATCTAACTAGTTTTCTTCCCAGGTTTAGTCTGGCTCCAAAATCTCTCCCTTTTCCAACCATTCAAACAGATTACTGGGTGGAACAGTTGTTCTTCTCCTTGTAAATCTTTATTTTGTATTAATTTGAAAAAAGAAAATAGGATAAAAATAAGCAAAATTGCAATCTCCATCCATCAGATATTGGAACTGACTGTACCTTTTAAACATGGAACTGTTGCGATAAAGGGGCAGGAAAAGTTCAGATGCATTTTTGGTGGCAGATGCACTCAAAATCCTTGATTTTGCAGACATTAATTCCTGGTCTACCTTTGAAGACCATTTGGGAACCTACAAACATACATGTCTGGTATTAAATTAAGTTAAAAAGGGTTTTGTACTGATCTCAATGCCAAATTGATCATTTTGGAGTCTTAAGATTTTACCCACCGTAGAATGGGGTGAAGCATGACTCTGCAGCAACAAATCATTCATCTCAGATATTGAGACTACAACCTCTGGTGGCTTCCTTGATTTCTTCTCAGGTTTCCTTCGAGTTCCCTTCTTCTGTGCAGGAATACTGTTTTCAGAAGAAACATTGCCAGATAGAGAAGAATTACTTAATGAAATAAGATTTTTATTGTCATTAAGCACATCTTCTGCACTTTTCCCCAAAGACATGCTAGAGTTCGCAGAAGCCAAAGAACTTCTTGCTCTTGCATCTGATGGAATGGATGGTGAATTTATTAGTGGTGATGCAGAAGGTGCAACATCAAAATCTGAGCTCCCACTGCTTGATGAAGAAATATTATCTTTGATAACATCCTGCTTCAAGTAGAAGCCCTGTGCTGGTGCAATGCCCAGCTCAGGAGGGACACTAACTATATTTTCCCCATTCTCCAAGGTGGAACTTTTATTTACCCCCACAAGATTATCTGGTGAAGATCCATTAGAGAACAAACCAAAGTAATCATTTAAACCTCCATTGCTTTTTGATAAATAACCATTCTTGGGACTGATGTCTTCTTCCCCTTCAGCTGTTTCCTTTCCCATATTTGAAGCCCGGGCACCATTTCCTGTCTCATTAACTGCATTTCTACGGGTAGAGTTTGAATCATTCTCATGTACAACAGTACCAACCATTTTGGATGGCAAAGATGATTCTCCATTTGGAGAGCTGCTATTGTTGCCAAGAGCAAAGAGAGAAGTGAAAACTTCAATCGATGGAAGCTCAAAATATTGAACTGCCAAAACTAGAGCAACTATAATAGCCATCAGCAATAGAAGCCTCCTGCTTTCTGCCTGACATAAAAATCTAAATGCCCCATCCATGTCACAACAAAACAATCTACAACTCAAACCACCATGTTGACTCAACTTGGTGAAAAATCAGTGACTTCAATCCAGTAGGTTTCACATTAAACAATCTGGGGGAGTCCAGACAAAGCTGATGAATTATAAAAAGAAATTGTTATTGGTTTGGGAGTCTGCAACTCTGTGAACAAGAATCAAAGTGACCATAAAAAATTCAGATAAGGGTTTTCATACCCCTCACCAATTTAGTAAGTTTAAGCACATAAAGTCCTATCCTAGCTTTTAACATTTGGAATAAAGCAAGAACCATCTTTGCCAAAATGAAAAAAGAAAGAGCAGTCTGTCTCAGATATTAAATTGGAAAAGAATAACAAATTTTACCCATTTTGCAGACAGGAAAATCCAGCCATTGTTTGGAGGATCTAAACTCTAAAGTACCCAAAAGAGAAAGAAATAAACCTAATTTAAGGAGGCCAACAAAATAGAAAAATGACCCAGGAGATCTATTTCCACCTCTATCAAATCAAAAAGAAACATAGAATGAAATCTTACATACATGTGCTAGGCTCAAGCCATGGAAGAAGGAAATGAGCTTTTGGCTTTTTATGTGTTTCTGAACATTCTCTGTTGTTCTGAATTTCTAATGATTCCGCGTTATTGAAGGAAAATACCCAATGATCACGGAATAATTTCCTGTTTGGTTCCCTGCAGAAGGATGGATAAGGGAGGAAGAGACAAAAATTTCAGAACCAAAATCCCAAAATAATACAGTATTATACATTAGTACTTCCCCTTTCTTTTCCTTTTTTTTTTTTGTCTCCTATCTATTTTTTTGTCCTATCCGTTGACCTTCCCCACTAATATTACATTTATCTCGGATTAAAGGCTTATTAATCTTAAAAAAAAAAAAATCATTAAATTACATAAATTATTAGTTTGTATGTATATATATCATGCAGTATTTTACAGATTTATTATTTTTTCATGTTTGTAATTTACAGAATTATAGTAGTAAAGAAAAGCGAATTTGAATGATGGTGGCTTTTACCAAACGGTATCCTCATCATCTGATGCTTATCATTGTTTAGAGATATAACAAAGTTGGAGCTTTGACTTGGTCAATCAAGAATTGGCAATTTTGCTTCAGTGTGGATCTAAGTCGATACACCATAATGTTCCGATTTTATACCGATTCACGAGTCTCACCAAATAAAACGAGTTTGGAATTTTTGCGATGTTCACTCAATCTGTGAACAGCAAAACAATGAATTGAATCTGTATTAGAATTTCACAGGATTAAGCTATCTTCTCCCATCTTTACATCCCACAAGTGGGTTCTCTCAAGTTCAACTCAAACTATGTCCAGAAACAAGGGTGTCAAGCAAGGGGTTCTAAACTAGCCATGCTTAGTTTGGAAAACTCTGTTGTACCAAACTGAGTGGAGGATCATATGGAATACGTCATACTTCTGAGGCTTCTTAGGATGCCAAAGAAAATGTTGCTGTACCTTCTTCACCCTCAGTTGTAACTGAAGATACCTCTTCTGTGGAATGGACAGAAGGATGTTTTTCAAATTTGGGATATCTTTCTCTGAAACAAAGACTGCAAAGGATTCCCAGTTCAAAACCTCAAAGAAAGGAGGAACAAAATTGTCAGATATGATCACTGGAACACACTCGTAGAATATGGCTTCCACCACTCGTGGACTATTAACTTCGTAGCCTCGTGGACAGAGGCAGTACTTGCTGCTCTTCATGTGCTGGATGTAATCCATCTTGCCCTTGACCTTTGGCATGTTACCCAAGATTTTCATGTCAGGATCTTTGTTTTCCCAGTGTTGGAGGAGAATTGGCCTTAAATAACCATGCATGTTTCCTGCAAAAAAGGCCAGGATTGATCTCTTTGAAGGAGGTTTCCCTCCAAGATCTCTAAGAGGCTTCTGAGGATTCCGAACATACGTCTCCGGAAGTGACACATCCTTGCCAAAAATGTAACCTTCCTTAACATCAGAATTGCAAAGGGCCCTTATGCAATTGGCCATGTATTTCTTTGTTTCTACTGGTGCCTGAGAAAATAGTGTTTATTAGGAAACTATTCTGAGGTCAATAACATGCTTTGCTGAGTAAATGTATGCTAACCAGCAAGGCCTTGCTACTTCTCATACAAGGAGAGTAAAGATGAGCAATTAAGCACCCATAAACTCAATATTGTGTGGTTGTTTGTGCGTGTCTGTTTGTGTGTAACTACAAGGGAAATAAAAAAGGAAGAGAAAAAGTAGGGGAAGTAGGTGGTTTGAGAAAACAGAACTCCCCTCTTACCAAGAAAAAGCTTGAGTTATTGTCAATACTATAATAAACCAGAAAAACTATTCATGCTCTTTGAAATTCACAACCTCCAAATTCCCCTAAATAATATAAACAGAAAGTAACTGAGAGAAAGGCGTACCCAGTCATGACAAGCAACAAGAAAGTGATCAGCTCCTTCGGTTCTGTTCCAGAAAGGATACTTTGACGCAATCATGTCAACATAGTTCTTCAGAAATTGTATAAGGTTGTCATGACTGTGAGAATTCTGCACATATAAGGCTTCCTCTAACATTTTAGAACTAAATGGTAAGTAAAACAAGTGGGCTTTTCCTGGATTTTTAGTAACAAATTTTTTGTTTGTTTCCAGTTGCCTCATAAACCACCCTTCAGAAGCATAAATGCCCTTGAGGAGTGGCAGATGTAAAATGGGTCTTTTTCCTTCCCTGTATACATACACTTTAAGTTTCTCTTCCATCAGTTCATAGCTCCTGCAAATTTGTTGATATAAATGTTTATACATTATGAACAAAAATTAAGCTACTGTCCCAAAAAAAAAAAAAAAAGAAGAAAAAAACTAAAATTAAGGAACAAAAATTTTATGTGCAGCACAATAATGTCACAGGAGCTTGTTCGTGTCTTCCAGATCAATCCTATTGATAATGAACAAGACAGATTTCACAGGGAACTAATTATTAAAATGCAGTTCTTCCCACCTTGTCAGTAAATAAAACCTAACCTTGGCCAAAACTAATAATAACCACCACAATCACCAAGGACCCTGCAGCACTTCTGTTCTGATGCTGATTTTTTTGTTCTAAAACTACTCTGTGAACAGAAGATGACGAGTTCTGAAATAAAGGATCGTTAACTTCAGCAATTTTACTCCCTCCCATTTAGATCAGCTTACATTCTTTTTGTGGTGCCACTACATACCTAAGCCTAGGTGGCACACAACCAAAGCATCTAAGACATCCTTTCTGTGATTCATTCTCAATGTGCTCTTGTATTATCATATATTTATCTAAAACATATTTGCTCGACCACAGTTCCTCTATTCATGCTGCTAGACATTAAAGAGTGGTGAAAACAAACAAGAAAGTGGGTTTTAATAACTCACCTTTTGAACATTGATATATTCCTATAAAGAGGAGCAAACAGTTCTACATCATTCTTTATGATGGGTGCATTCTCAATTTGTGATCTAGCAGCTAGTAGTTCCTGGTCTGCTGCAGAAGACCATCTTGGTGTCTACAATCAAATCAAGAAACAAAACAAAGGATGTAGTTAATAGCTATAGAACTCAATAAACATGCTAACAAAAAGTAAAACTTTAATTTTTAATCATACCACTGAATGATAAACATCATGACTCTGATGCAACAAATTGTTCATCTCATGTATTGTAATTACTGCAGAGCTTGAAACGTCTGCCTTTTCCTTGACCTCAGGGCTGGGTGTCTTTAAATTGTCTTGCATTTGCACTGGCTTTTCACTAGGTCTCACATTTTTCTCCCCTGATGATGTGGTGGAATTGATAGATATAACAGGTTTTCTGATTTTTGTGTCTGCATTCTTTCCTAAGTCTACATTAGTTGATGAATCCGTTGGTGACGATGCAGGTACAGGAGATCCAAGGCTAGCATTGAAGTAACCATTACTTTCTGATGTCAATGTAATATTTCCTTCTGTAACATTGCTCTTTGGAGAGTTATCATACATGGTTTCATTTTTTGGGGAAAAGCTTCCTTGGGCCTCACTACCCTCCTCTGCTTCAGTTTTATTGTTAAAACTTTGGCCAAAGTCCATGGTGGAATTGCTACTCAGCTTCGATGTCTCAGTCGAAGACTCCTTGCCAGATTTGCTACCCTCATCAAACCCTGAAGATATATTCAATCCCACATTTGTCTGCAATACACCATCCTCCAGATCTCTGTCCTTCACTTCCGAGGACAAGGTATTATTAACAGTCTCATTAGGTGCATGCAAACCAGTGGAGTTCAAACCATTAACATGAGTCGCATCTGCAACCTTCTCAGACTCAGATGATGGTCTACCCCTTAAGAAATCACTATTTTCTGCCACTGGAACCTTGCCAGGAGGAAACAGTGAGGACAGAACATTACCATGAGGAAGTTCAAGACACTGCAACGTTACAATTAAAGCAACCATTATTCCTGGAAGCCATAGCAATCGCGTGGTTTCAATTCGAAACAAAGACTTCACTTCATAACCCATATTGAAAAACCACTTAATTGATCCCCAGCTTACTCCAAATGATAAGAATCATCCCTGCCAAGTATTCCCAAACACCAAATTTAGTCAGAATCAAAACCCTTTTCCATCCAAAAACTCAACATACAAAGTGAAAATACATTAAAAAAAAAAAAAATACACCTTATATAAAGCAATTGCATTGGCGGAGTTGAATACTATCCACCAACAAAATTGCATGTTAATGTTTTTAAATAAACACCACTTATAACATAACATCTCCTTCAAATTCCAGCTACTAGAGTCATGATGCAAAATTTCCACATCCAAATTTGAGAACAAAAATAAAAACCAGAAACTATCTAAAAATAATCAATACAGAAACAGACCCAAATCATTAATTCATAACCAAACACAAATTAAAACCAAAACATACCGAGCAAAAAACCTCTGATATCAATTTTTTATACAAGAATTCACTAAATACACAACGACAACGAAAACATCATTAACAGAATTTTTTTTATAAAAAAAAAAAAATGCATAAGAATTGAGAGCAGATAAGATTATTAATTAAGAAAGCAAAAGAGGATAAGAAAATTCGTCAAAAAAACAAATTCAGAGAAATTGCTTACAATTTCTCTGCAATTTCTCCGTTTTGAAGGATTCCGGATAATCAGTGTGTGAACCGTTGTTTGACTGCGAGAAATTAATGAGAAGAAAAGAATCTTCCCTGTACTGGTTTTTATGTCAAACTGTCAAAGTGACAGTTGTAAAAAAAAAGAAAAAAAAAAAAGAAGAAGAAGACGAAGAATCTCCTGCTCCTTTCACTTTTGTTTTCTTTCTTGTTTTTCTAGTGCTAGTAGGAGTATCTAAGTTTCTCGGGAACCAAACACCCAATTTTCCAGAACGGAAAAACAGAAACGGAGAGGGTTTGTGGATTTGCATGGGGTTTGAATAGGAATTTAATAAACGCATCCTACGCTTCCCGGGAAGTGAGAATCTGCGGATGTCCTCGCCTTCAATGCCGTGTAGCTGGGGTTTTGGACAAAAAGGGCATCCGGTTATTTCAATATTACGTTATTGACACCAGTTTTTTTGACTTGTTGGGAACGATAGGCGGTATTAGTCTACGCGCGCGTTTTTGGGGATTGCATAGTCTTCGAATTTCTTTCTTTTCTTTTCTTTTTTTTCTTTTTTTTTTTTTGTTGGCTCAACGCCTGCCTAGTTTGCCAATACGAAATATCAGAGTTATTTATTTTTATTTTTATTTTTTTTGGTAAAATGGCACTTTTTTTCCCTTATTACGTTAATATTACTTATCATAAATATCAATAAATTAATTCAATGAAATAAAGTATATATCAATCATGACACTTAAAATTAATTAAAATCTAAA